ATGAATTTATAGCTGGGCCGTGGTGGTGCATGCCTTTAATTACATCACTCGGGAGGTAGAGGCAGGCAGATCTCTGAGTTCGAGGCCATCCTGGTCTACAGAGTGAGTTCTAGGACAGGCTCTAAAAGCTACACAGAGCAACTCGGTCTCGGGGGGGGGGGGGGGGGGGGGGGGGGAATTTACTATGTTTCAGTTCAATTTTGAATTTCCTCTCCTTTCTAACATTGCATGATTCATATAGACCTCAGAGGTCCCCCACTTCCATCTCTAACAGTTCATGATTCCACTATGGATGGTAACAAGGTAGAGATTTAAATCCTATGATTCCAAGACATCCCTTCCCAGGAGGAAAAGGTCTAAATTCTAAACACAGAACCTGTGCTCTTTGTGACTTACTCTTGCCAACTTCATTTTTCAGCCTTTCTTCAGATCCTACCCACTTCCCCATCTAGCCTGCAACTTGCAAGTTTTGGTTTTACTCACCGTAGGGACTTTGTATAGGCAATACCTTCTAGAAAAGTTCTTAGGGAACTACAAAAAAAGCTTCTATTGTATTTTTTTTTTTTTTGGTTTTTCGAGACAGGGTTTCTCTGTGTAGCTTTGCGCCTTTCCTGGAACTCGCTTTGGAGACCAGGCTGGCCTCGAACTCACAGAGATCCGCCTGGCTCTGCCTCCCGAGTGCTGGGATTAAAGGCGTGCGTCACCACCGCCCGGCTCTATTGTATTTTTAATATATTTTATTCTTTAATAATTTCATACACGCATACAATATATTTTGATAATATTCATTGGATTCCTGCCAATAACTTCTTCCAGATCCACCTCCAATTTTTAAATTGTGTGTGTGTGTGTGTGTGTGTGTGTTGTGTGTGTGTGTGTGTGTGTGAGAGAGAGAGAGAGAGAGAGCAGAGACAGAGACAGAGACAGAGTGGGGGAGTTCAGGTACTGGCAGAGGCCAGAGACATTAAATCCCCTAGAACTGAAGTTACAGGTGGCTGTGAGCTACCTTACCTGGGTACTGAAAACTGAAAGGCATATGTACTCTTTCTTGGAGCTGGGGTGGGGACAGGGTTTTTACCATGTAGCTCTGACTGGCCTAGAACTCACTATGTAGACCATGCTAGTCTCAAACTCACTGAGCTCTGCTTGCCTGTGAAGCCCTGGGATTAAAGGACTGTGTTACCATACCAGCTACAACATGCACTCTTTTTTCTTTTTCAAGACAGAGTTTCTCTGTGCAGTTCTGGCTGTCCTGGAACTCACTCCTTAGACCAGGTTGGCCTTGAACTCAGAGATCTGTCTACCTCTGCCTCCTGAGTGCTGGGATCACAGGTGTGCACAGCATTCACTCTTAGCCAGCCATCTCTCTAGCTCCAGGGAACATGTCATAGGGGGCCTCTGTCCCTTTCTGGGGTTCAGTTCCTTTTCTGGAAATTAGAGATACAAACCTTATTAGTGAGTACGCTGTCAAGTAGAAGGTACTATCTGCCAGAAATTGCCAGAGATCACACTTTTGCTAGCATCATCTCTGAATTTTCACAGAAACTTCCATGAGGTTAGTTCTTACATCTTGATTTTTTATTTTATACATAAGAAAACTGTAGTTCAGAGGCTGTAGGCAAGGGACCTAATAAAAATGTGTCTCTGTGTGTGCATGATGCACTCATGTGAGTGGACAGGTATGTGAGAAGGCCGGAGGAGGGTATCTTACTCTATATGCGCTCCTTATTGCCTCGAGATAGGGCCTCAGATTGAACTTAGAAGCGCTTAGGTTTTGGCTAGGCTGGCAAACCAGCTCTCAAGATCCACCTGCCTCTAGCCCCCAACACTAGGGTTATAGGCAAGCTCAGTCATGCCTGGTTTTTCTCACAGGGGTTTTGAATTCAGGTACTCATGCTTTCGAAGCAAACACCCTTACCAAATGAGTCATCTCCCTAGTTCTGAAAACCCCTTTTAAAGCCTTGTCTTTCCAGGGCTTTATTCATTCCTCCCAACAACTGGGGGGGGGGGGGTAGGTATTTTTACTGCTAGGGGTGCTAAAGCAAAGAATCCCTGCAAAGAGGATGCCGCCAGACAGCCTAACTCCAACATTCTAGACAGCAGCTATTCAACAAAAATATACCACAAACTGTATGTGTAATTTCAATTTTCATAGCAGCTGTATTTCAAAAGTAAAAAGACATAGGTAAAATTAAATATAATAACATAGTTTATTTCACCCAATATATACAAAATAATACAACATGTGTTCCAACATGCAATAAATATAAAACCTTATTCTTTTTTTTCACTTTAGAATATTGCTGTCTTCAATTTCATACACACATATAATGTATGATGATTACATTCCACCTTAGTTTTTTTTTTTTTTTGGTTTTTTCGAGACAGGGTTTCTCTGTGTAGCTTTGCGCCTGTCCTGGAACTCACTCTGTAGCCCAGGCTGGCCTCGAACTCACAGAGATCCGCCTGGCTCTGCCTCCCGAGTGCTGGGATTAAAGGCGTGCGCCACCACCGCCCGGCCCACCTTAGTTTTTTAAATGAACATAATATTTGCAATTGTAACCATATTTAAGTTCACAATTCAGTGGCATGAATTACATTCAAGATATTAATTACACTCATGATATTAATTACACTCATATTAATTACATTTGTGGTATTCATTGATTACATTCGCAGTATTCATTCAATAACTATATTTATGATATTCATTAATTACATTAATTGTATTGATTTATTACATTCATGATATTATGTCCTGATACTACTGTCCATTTGTGGGGCTTTTTCATTACACAAAACAGAGATTCTGTACTTAGTAAATCATTGCTCTATATTTTTTTCTTCTCCATCTTGAGATAACATCTAATCTTTCTATGAATTTGTATATCCTATATATTTTATGTAATACAATTCTATAGTATTTGTCCTTTTTTTAAATGTAAAAACATTTTATGTACAACTGCAGGAGAAATAATACACAGATAGCTTGAACATAAAAACAGGTTATAATTCAAAAGTCCAGGGTGAAGCCGCCTTCTTTTCCGACACAGATGCACGAGTATTCTTGAAAGACCCCCGAAGAGAGTCTTCCCTCTGGAGAGACCCTCGCCCAGAGATCACACCGAGACCACAAGTCAGATGCAAACAGCAAGAGGCTTTATTCAGGAACACGGGTACCCGGGGCGACACAGTCCCTCCAGAGGCTGAAGAGACTGGCTCGCCCACGGGCTGGAGTGGAGGGATTTTATAGGGTCGGGCAGCAGAAGGGCGGGGTACAGAAGCAAGAAGCATATTTTACAGGGTTCTGATTGGACAACTCATATGAGGCCATGGTTTACAGGGTTCTGATTGGGCGATTCATATGAGGCCAGGTTTACAGGGTTCTGATTGGACGACTCATATGAGGCCATGGTTTACAGGGTTCTGATTGGACGATTCGTATGAGGCCAGGTTCAAACTCAGGACAGCTCGTGGTTTTTCCCCCCCCCCCCAGCTCGACACGCCTGCTGACCTGGCTCCCATCCAGGGTACAAACTGTCCCTCCGACCCTCCAGTTCCCTGTTCTGGGGCCAGGTGGCCGACCGCAGACACCCCGCTCGTTCCTGCGCCCATGTCCTCCAACTGAACCCTCCCCGCACTCCTCAGGCCCTGCTCAAGATGGCGTCAGGCCAAGCAAGCATGCTGGGGCCCCTCAGCACCCCCCCAGAAGAGTCCCGGGGGTCCCGGCCTGCACCTCCCTGCAGGGCTCCCCAGTCCTCAGGCCGCGCCACCCCGGGGGCACCCGGGCCCCAGTCTGCACCGCCCGGAGGGTCCCCGGCCCTTGGCCTGCTCCACCACGCAGGGTCCCCGGCTCTCGGCCTGCTCCATCCCGCAGGGCCCCGGGCGCCCGGGGTCGCGGCCCGCACCACCCTCGCCGGCGGCTGCACCGGGCGCTGGCACCGGGCAGCGGCGCCAATCGGGCTCGAGGACACGGCGGGCCCGGGCTGGGAGCCTGCGGTCTCTGCCTACGATGCGGGGCCCGGGCGCGCGGGCCGCTGCGGGGGCGCGCATGGCGGGCGCGGGCGGCTGGCGCGGGGACGGGGATGCGGCCCGGCCTGCGCTGCCCTTGGCTCCGCTCCTGGCGGCCTTTCATTCTACACTATAATACATCTTAACTCGGCGTATTTACATGGACGCCGTAATTACAGTTCACTTACTAATCCTAAAATTAAAAAGCAGTCTCTTGGTTTTTGAGGACAAGCAAAAATAACGACAAAGAACCCTCGAGCATTTGCTTTGTGCCAGGAAACATCTTAAGAATCTTGCCCAAGTATTTTGTCAACCTCAAAATAAGGTGAGTTCTATTGCACTCAAGCAGGCGAGAGGTTGTGCGTGTGTGTACTTAGAGTCTCAGCCCAGGGGTGAACTCTAAATCTAAGATTACAGGTTTGAGAGGTCTTTCTTTTTCTTTTTTCTTTTTTTGGTTTTTCGAGACAGGGTTTCTCTGTATAGCCCTGGCTGTCCTGGAACACTCTTATGTAGACCAGGCTGGCCTCGAACTCACAGAGATCCTCCTGCCTCTGCCTCCTGAGAGCTGGGACCACGCCCAGCCGAGCGGTCTTTCTTAAAGGAGTCGGAGACCCTTGTCCCGCTGTCCCACCCGGGTCATCCACCAAGCTCCGACAAGCCCCCTGGCCAGCTCTCAGTCTCATTTACCCAGGACTGTCAACGCTGGCCCCTGATCCTGGTCCAGCATCTGACCTAGCAGGCGCAGGTCACCTGCAAGCCAAGGTGGCTCGGGAGCGTCGCCTGGATCCTGTCGTCCTCCTCTCCTTCCTCTTCCCACTCCCATTTGGAATACACTTCCGACTCGGATTGCGACTCCGATTCCGACTCCAGGTCCGTCGACTCCTCCTCCTTCTCTGCCTTCCTCTTGTGGTGCTCGAGGTGCTCCTCCGAGCCGCTCTCCGAGCCGCTCTCCGAAGAGCTGACATCTGGGTACCACAAGGTCTTTCGCCGGTCAAACTTCACGAAACTGCTAGTGGGCGCGGCTTCCGGGTTCAGGCGCTTCAGGCTGCTCTTGAGGCTCGCGTAGTCGTCCATTTCCGGCCGCCGCGGAGCTTCGCGGGTGGAGGTAAGCTCGGCTCGCCCTCGCCCTCTGCGGAGCCCGCGTCCCTCCCGCTGGGGCAGCGCTGGCTCTGCCCTTCAGCCCATCCCTCTTTCCACCCCCGTCTCCACGCAGACGCAGAACCAGCTCGTAGCTGCGGGACAAAGGGTGACGCCGAGAGCCGTAGTCATGGCGGCGCCGGAGCCCAGCCTGGCCGCCCCGAGCCCCGCGGCGCCGCCGCCGCCGCCGCCGCCGCCCGAGCAGCAGGAAGGAGTCGGCGACTGGGCGGACCCCGGGCCCGACTCCGTGAGCTCCGCGGCCCCGGAGCTCCCCGGCTCGGCCGCAGCTTTGGACGCGGCGCTGCAGGCTGAAGCCGCCCCGCGGCCTGGCGTCTCTCGGCCCGGCCCCGAGACGTTTCGCCAGCGTTTCCGGCAGTTCCGCTACCAGGACGCGGCGGGTCCTCGGGAAGCCTTCCGGCAGCTGCGGGAGCTGTCCCGCCAGTGGCTGCGGCCCGACATCCGCACCAAGGAGCAGATCGTGGAGATGCTGGTGCAGGAGCAGCTGCAGGCCATCCTGCCCGAGGCGGCCCGGGCCCGGCGGCTGCGGCGCCGCGCGGACGTGCGCATCACTGGCTGAGCGGCGGAACTGGGGGGCTCCTTGGACTGATACCCTACCCCGAGTTAATGAAAAGTTGAATTTTGACAACTCCTGTGGTCTGGTGTGTCTTTCGTTCGTCATTTATTTATTGGGCTTATTTCCCGAGCTTGTTCCCCACCTTTCCAGTTGATAGAGGATTCTGGGATCGTATAAGAGTAAAGCTTTTATTTTCTACTCCTAGACCACTGGGGATGCGCAGGACTTTGCCCTTAAGGAGGGGAATTTCTTCCTTCTCACCTTGTTGACTAGCTCTAGGCCTTCCCTCTACCTCATCGGTAGTTTCTCTGAACCGATCTGAGTTTTGTCTTGCAAAAGGCCATGTTGCCGGGCGGTGGTGGCTCACGCCTTTAATCCCAGCACTCGGGAGGCAGAGCCAGGCGGATCTCTGTGAGTTCGAGGCCAGCCTGGGCTACCAAGTGAGTTCCAGGAAAGGCGCAAAGCTACACAGAGAAACCCTGTCTCGGAAAACCAAAAAAAAAAAAAAACAAAAAAAAAAAACCAAAAGGCCATGTTGATGACGGTTTCTGTCGTCTAGTGTCCACACTACCCTCTAATATCCGAGCTTGAGCCGTAAAATAAGTGCCCCTATTAAATGCTCAGCTCAGAGTCGTGGTTCATGCTTTTAATCTCAGCACATGGGGGAGTGGGGGCGCTTGGGGCTGGGGCCAGCCTGGTCTACGTAGTGAATTCCAACCAGGGTTATGTAGAGAGACCCTCAACCAAAAAAAAAAAAAAAAAAAAAAAAAACTGGTCAAGCAACAGAACTGGTGTTATCAAGGAAAAATTAAATGACTCTTACAGCTTCACTTTCTGTTCCGTGGCTTAAAGATCAGTAATTGCACTCCACACAGTAGACAATACATTTTCTTCCCAGTAATTTTGCTGGAGATAACTTCTGCTGTGTGGCTTCTAACAGTTAACCTGAATTACTATTAAGGTAACTAGATGTTTGTGGGAAGGTTTTTTTTTTTCTTTTTCTTTAGTTGAACTTTTTCTTGAGTTGATTTATACCATTTCCACTTTTGTCCCCTCCAACCCCTCCATGCCCTCACTTCCCCTACTATTTATGACTTCTAACACTGTTACATAAAACAAATGAAAAGGCTTGGCACCTGCCTCCCCACCTTAACCTTTTGGTCAGTGTGGTACTGGCTTTGCACGTGCAGGTGTTTATCATTAGAGAAGTGTTTTGCCTAAAGCTGTAATATAGGGTTCATGACCTTTAAGGTTAAAAACAGACCAGTGGCCATGACCAGAGTGTATACCATGAAAAGAGGGAGAGCTGACATCTCCAATTCCTCAATACTTCTGCCTATTCCTCTCCTTTATTAGCTTCTCTTGAATTAGCTTCCTGGAATGAAGCACACTTGTGAGCAAAGCTCCCTTGTCTTTACAATGCACAAACAAAAACCTTTTTCAGTCTCTAATGCTCCACTGCACAATGGTTTTTCATGGAATGAGCTTGTAATGTGTTGAGTAACATTACTTGAAGTCCTAATTTTAATGTATTCAGGGGGCTCCTGTTTTGAATACCTTCCTTTAGTCCTCAACTCTACCAAAGGAAGGAATTTCTCAAGGAATGGGAACCAGTTTTCCTTGAGGCTTCCATTGTGTGTGTGTGTGTGTGTGTGTAGGAAGCTTGGGTTTGTTCCGGAGCAGTGGATGAATCTCAGTGCAGGGAAGGCAGGGCCCCGTGCATTGCTTCCAGCAACCAAAACTAGTAAGTCTGCAGCTTCCACTACAATGCATGAGCCAGACTTGGGTAGAAGCTGGGGTGAGCATCTAGCTTTGGATGGTTTGAAAGCATTTTGTTATGTTTTCATGGGATTGCTTGACAGGGTTTGCGTTTGTCTTCCTGTATGAGACTGTCATAGAAGAGCAGGCATGCTATAAAAGGCAGTGATTATATATGTATGTGTGTGTATATATATTTTGGTGGGGGAGCAGGGAAAGGTAGCTGTCTGGTCCCTGGGACTCCGGTGGGTAGGGCCTAGGGGCTAGAGATCTGATCAGCTGGTCCGGAGATGGGGGCTTAGCTGTTCCCAGTCTGTGTAGGGTAGGCTTATGATTCTGATGATCTGGTTCGGTGGCTGGGCGCCGCCGCCTTCTGTGTTCTCAGGTCCCGTTTTGCACATTCGTCAACTCAGCTGATCTTGTTTCCTCACACTGCAGACTGTAGGATTCTGAATCCTCTCCCGAATGGATCTCAGCTGAGCAGGTTGTTTAGTAGGGCAATCTCACCAACACCTCCAAGTTGTTGGGCTTCGCAGGATTGGCAACTGGGCCCTGATTACATTTATTTTAAAAGTAGGGTAAAGCATTTGATTCTTGCTGGTGGGTTATGGTGGTGCACTCAGGAGACTAAGGCAGGTTGACTGCAAGTATGAAGCCCAACTTTGGGTTAGATGACAAGCTCAAGGCCAGCCTGGACTACATAGCAAGACTGTCTAAAAAATAACTGGGTGTGGTGGCATAGGACTTTAATCCTAGCACTTAAGGCAGAAGCAGGGGATTTCTGGGAGTTCTAAGCCAGTCGGCTATATAGTGAGACCTTGCCTCCAAACTAAACAAACAAAACTCACAACCTTTTATACTCCAGTAACATGTGACTGACACATAGTAACAAGAACCTGTTTTATTTTCTCCAGATACAGAGGTTTGCATGTTTTGCAAATATTGCTTGAGAGCAACACTCCTATGTACAGTGCCTTCTAACAGCTCGTAAACACAGATACGTATCCACAGTGCAATTGGCTCAGCCAGGATCCACCTTGCATACATACTTAAACAAATGATTGATCAATGGCGACTTCCTATAGGTGGACAGTTTTCTCAACAGACAGAACGTGGCACATGTCTCTCTAAACGGTATCTGCATTGTTTGCTCCACCTCAGGGGTTAATTCATTGTGACCCAGGAACTGGGAGTGGAGCCCCTCAACATGGCTTTAAGTTAGGGAAGAACTGAGGTTATCAGAACATGGGGAGTCTGCTTCGCTTCCCTAAGAACAAAAGTCACAATGAAACCAGATCACTTCCTTCACAATACCTAAATGATGAAGCCAGCAATGACCACCTGGCAAAATTAGGATCAGTTTCTGCTTCCATCTTTGAACAAGACACAAAATTGACTGCTTTCAAAGTTACAGCTTCCCCAGATGTGACACTCAAGAGCAGTTACATAAAAGAAAGAAAAACTTTAATTTAAAAACCTTTATTACATTTGTTTATTGTGTGTATGTGTGTCAGAGGACAACTTCAAGGTGTCAATTCTCTACTCTGTGGGTCCTGGGGTCGAACTCAGGTCAGCAGGCACCTTTACCAACTGAGCCATCTCTCTGGCCCTCAAATCAGTATCGATGTAACAATCATCATACCTCACACAGATGTAGCAATAGACAATTTTCTTGGTTTTTCCCCTTTCATCATCCAGTTCTCAAGATGCAGCTATCTGATAAATTACCCAGAACACCGATGTTATACTACCAACTCCCGGAGCATTTCTTCTCACAACAGAAACATGTTAGCAGTGGGTAGCAAGCAGCCTTTTGTAAGGAACTGTGTGGGCTTCAGTATGTGTCACACACTCCCTAAGCTATGTTAGGTCAACTCATGCTTGTCCTGCAGCTCATTTTATAGCAGATGGTAAACAAATCACTAGACTGGGCATTCATTCCCTGAAACTTCTCTGTACACAGGCCTGAATTCATGGCCACAATGACCTGTTCTGCCTGAACCTTAACCATTCCCAAGGCAGCTGGAGATGCTGCTGTTGCTAGCTACTGACACTGGCTCCTTGATGTTTACACAGTAAATATTTGCAGCCTAAAACATTACAGATTCCAAAACTCATGATGAACCTGTGGGTGTTGATGGATAAATGTACTTTGATATTTGCCTTTAGTGATGCAAAACCTGGTAAAATGAAGTCCTCAAAGCTTGGAGCCTTTTAAACTTTGCCTAGTAAGGTAAAACAAAACAATACAGCAATTACACATGGAAACAGAACCTGGGAAGTAACACAAATATTCTCTCCGAAGGTACAAACAGGTTGTACCTGGGCCTGAAGCAGCAGCATCACCTTGATCTCACAAGTAACACGAAGAGTTAATTGGAAGTGTTAAAGTGCATCAGCAACCCCGAAGACGCCAGTCCCCACACTAGCCTCCAGAGGAGGAAAGTGACGCAGACTCAAGTTGCTGATGACGACACAGAATAAGGTAAGTCCCATGTTCTTTGTAACAAATACAGTCAAAGTTCAAAGTCTTGGGAAACTTTTTTTTTCAATTTTAAATAGAAGTGGGAAGTTGTTGAAATTAATGAGTGGGTAGAAAATGCTGTCCTTTGGGTTCCAGACCCTGCCTGCTTCCTTCTGGAATTCCTTGTAGATTTTCATTACAGCAAGATTCTAGTTCCCCTTCAGCAGTTTCGGCTTGGCTGCCAAAGCCATGGCCCAGACGACTCTGGGGTAAAAAAACATAACACTTTATCCCCCGTACCGTGAAATCATGCAGGAGATGTGGCGAGAAAATGAAGTCCTGGAAGCAGTGCCGTCGAGGCCCTGCTCCTCCTTCCCGAACTGCATGGCCCAGTGAAGTCTCAACATTCCAGTGAAGCTGAAAGATGGAAATGGTGCCTGCTGCCCATGTACCATGCCAGGCAGAGAAACCAGAGGGGTTGGCACATGCCTCAACCTGACCCAAAAGTCAATTAAATAAACTGCAAATTGAATTTACAACTGTTTCCGACTAGACTTTTTTTTTTTGGCTCTCATCCCATTTATCACCAGTGGCACGATTCCAAGTGAGGATGTGCAAAGAGTCGCTTTGTTCAACAATGTGCACAGAAGGGGGCTCTGGCGATGCGCTGCCTTCATGGTCGGCTTCCAGAGCAAGAGTGCCCTGTCCTCCAGCAGCCAAAATGGTCTCTTTGTCCCAGTGTCCATCACACTCCTGGCCAAATCCCTGAAGTCAGTCAGTGTCCCGTGCATTCAGCATGCTAAGTTTATTTACTTAAATACGTGAAGCTCCCCCCCAGCAAACATGCCAG